GGATCTCAGTGTGCAGATCGTGAATTTTTCACACAGAGAGAGCTGACAAGCGATGAGTCTGCCTCCATTTCTTGTTTTGCTCCTTGTCTTGATTGCATCGATGGTGGCAACCATCGAACAAAGAGGACAACAAGGCAACGGGAATCATAACAGCTATGAAGTGATCTGGTGTCTTCGGCTAAGGGGGGGGAAGATGCAACAAAGCAAAACAAGGGGAGAAAAGAAGCTCACAGGGGTGAAGAAACTGAGCGTGAAGAAATCAAGACTGAAGGAGTCGGGAGGTAGCAAGCAGACGAAGGTCTCAGCGTCTAAGAGAGTCAGAAGCGACACAAGAGCGGGAAAGGAGAATGTGTCCCTGAAGAGCGGATTGAGAGCAGGGGCTGAAGGACCGAGGAGGATGAGGAGGAGAGGGGGAAAGAGAGGTAAAACGCAAAGAAGAAAGCTAAGACTTCTGAAAGAGCAGGGATTCTTCAATCGTACCAAAGGTTCTCGTCCGTTGAGATGTTCGTCTTGTGACTGAGCTGATAGCCACCAACATAATCCATCGCGTCCACCACCAGCAGAAGGTTCTTGCCACGGTGAAGCGAACAACCTGGTCACTCTGGTTGCCTTGACTGCAGTCTGACAGGCAAGACGACGAGGACAGGCGGAGGAAGTGAAGAAGCTGAAGAAGAAGATGGCAGATGACAACTTGATGCCTGAGTATCAGGTGCGGTGAGGGCTCGGTAAAAGCCGAGCAGGTCGACGGACACTGAGACATTGGTGCGATGTATCAGAAAGCTTGTTTTTCTGCCCCGCTGCCTACATCAGCTGTAGATGATCAAGTCTTCTCAAGAAACCAAACAACAACTTTCAACTCGACCGAGTGGATTCTCCAAGAGATGAGATTTCACAAGTTGCTCGACAGCAACCTCTTGGAGGGTGGCAGGGGTGAAGTTGACGTTTGCTTCTCCTACCGATACCAACATTCTTGCAGGATATGTGCGATTGCTGGATGTTGGCTCGATGACGAACCCCTATGTTAACATGAAACGTGTTCGATCAGTATGTTTGGATCCAAACCCGTGTGGACCCCAAGTTGAGCAACTGGATCTTCTCAGGTGAACTTGTGGAATAACAGTTTGGCGACCTTGACCTGCTGCTCTACACAAGCTTTTTCAAGAAGTGGAAGCAAGAAGAGAAGAAGAAGCGCTTCGACTGCATTGCTCTTTGTCTTGTGCTCAACTTTGAAGGAGATCCAAAGCTGAGGTCAGCACCCCTTGTTTTCGAGAACTTCAAGAGGAGTTATGTAGCCACCGGCAAGATCTGAAGAGACACGAAATCCACAGAGCAAAGTGGTTTGCTGTCAGCCCCTGTTGACTTTGTGTTTTCTTAGGGGAAAGATGTTGATCGCAGCTACCAGCATGCTGCGAGACCGAGGAATATTGCTTTTCTCCCTCCCTCGAAGTTGTACTTCGAACTCTCGATTCTGTACCAAGGTCTGAATCTCACACATTCAAACTTCTTTCTGAGCAACACAAAGTCCCTGTTAACCTTCTTGTTGCCTCGTCGATTTTCTGCGTTGAGAGCTGACGGACTTCTCAGGAGATTCTGCTGGGACAACTGAAAGCAATTGGACTGAAAGCTCTGCGCGCTAAGTCAACTACTAAACTTTCACTATGGGTGAGGAGAATGGGGTTAATTGAGGAGTGAAAATGTGCTCAGGTGCTGCAGAAGAGGAAAGAGAAGTTCTTGAGCTGGAAGAAAGGTGATTGCAAACTTGCATGCTCTACAAGGTTGACAAGGTGAAGCAGAGAAGAAGAAGAACAAGAAGATGAGTGAGGTAGGTGCAACGGTTATGAGATCTCATTGTATGACACGTGACATGTCAGGAGAAGAAAATCAAAGTTCTGCGTCAGGGAGAGGGAAGAAACAATTTCAAGATTGTCTTTTGACCGATCAGACGAAATATTTCCATGTTTGACTTCAAGATTCCTTGTAACCGAACAAACGATGTGCTAGCATGATAGTTCTCTCTAGAGCCAATACCTCGCTGCTTCTCCCTCTCTTCTGCCTCTCCCCTCTCTCGCTCTTCCCTTCCCTTCCTCTTCTTGTCTCCACATCCTCCGCTTCCCACTTCCTCTCTTCCTCTCCCTCTCCTCGTTCCGCAGCCTCCAGCGCCTCTCCTATCCTCCATCGCACGTGCGAGCCGAAATGGAAGGCGATGAACCTGCCAGTGCCTTCAGCTGGACCCCAGCTGGACTTCTCACCTCAGGGCCTGCTGGACTACGTCTGGGAGCGGCGGAGCTGGAGTGATGAGCCAGGCATCCAGAGACGAGAAGGAGGAGGAGGAGGAGGAGGAGGAGATGGTCCTAAGAGCTGCAGAGGCGAGTCGGATGGAGAGCTGGACTTGTCCTCGCAGCAGCTCGGAGACAGCTGCATACATACTCCTGCCAGGCTGAAATCACTTCCTGCTCCCACGTCCAAGTTTCCTTCCCCTCTTCACTCTCTCCCTGCCTCCTGCCCTTCTTCTTCCCTTCCCCGCTCTCTCCAGGCTCCCTCACCCTCCTCGTCCTCCCACCCTTTCCACTCCTCCCATCTCTTCATGCTCCTCCTCCCCTCCTCCTCACGGGATCGGGCTAGCTGGGCAGAGGCTCATGCTGGAGGTAAAGTAGGTGGTGGCTTCGAGTAGGCGATCGAGGCAGAGCATGTCGACGCCTGTCGCCAAGAAGTATTCGGACTCCCTCCTCTCCTCGCAGCTCTCCATTCCCTCCAGCTCCTCGCCAGCTCCGAGAGTTCTGAGTCCGGGGCATGCAGGTCGGCGGGTCCAACGGAGATGTTGAGCAGGAGAAGGAGGCGAAGGGAGAGGGGAGGAGAGCACTCTGAACCAGTAGAGGAGCTTGAATACCGCATCCTCCCAGGTGTGATATCTCCAAATATGCTCTGCATCCACGTCATCTCCTCCTCCTCCCCCCCCTCTTCCTCCTCCTCCTCCTCATCGTCGTCGTCTTCGTCGTCGTCGTCATCGTCGTCGTCGTCGTCATCGTCATCATCATCATCATCATCATCATCATCATCATCATCATCATCATCATCATCATCATCATCATCTCCATCTTCGTCATCTCCAGCATCTGTCACCTTGCACAAGGACTCTGTTCATCCTCCTCCTCGTCTTGTTTGCCAGCAGCTCCTTGGCTGCGGCCACGAGGGCGTGCGGATCGACTTCATCCCCCTTCATGGGCAGGACGGCAACCGAGTCGGGAGGAAGGAGCTGCAGCAGCAAGTGACCTGGGGGGAGAGAAAGGAGAGAGAGGGGGGGGGGGGGGGGGGGGAACTTAAAAAGAATTGAAAAGGCTGAATGGGAAAGAAAGACGCGCAAAGTAGGGGGGGAAAAAACGCGGAA